ACAGTAACCCCTCGGCTGCCCCTCCAAAGCTCCAGACTTGTGAAAGAGAAAATCAAATTGCTTTACTTTGCCGAACTTCTGAAGGAGTTTGAGAAGGTGGTACCTGACGGGGAAAAAAGACAAATGACACCTTTCAGTACTTTGAAAGTACAGAGATAGAGACACATGCATTTCAAGCTCAGTCACACAAATGGTTCAGTTCAGTCATACATGAATTCCCAAATATATGCAGAGGTGGACATCCATTACACAACCATAGCCCTGAGCTGCCCGGCCTCGTCAGTGACAGCCCTAAACCCCAAAGCACAAAGCCTTCCTTCCAGCAGTGCCAGCTGAAGAGTGTGCAGGAGAACTATTAATAGCTGTTTTTTGGACAATTATCTAACAGCTCCCTAGGGGGTTGGAGGACTCTGCCTCTTGTCTTCCTAGAAATCACACCTACTTCCAAGCATAAACACTGCCCCTCTCCAGCTCTGACATGACTGTCTGAAGTTCTATCTCCTCTATTCCCTCTCTCTGCACAAGCAGTCCCAGCCCATAGCCCACAGCACCTGCAGTTCTTGCTGCCCTCCCTGTCCCTGCATGAGCGCTGCTGCTCCCATCCCTTCCCTGTGCCAAGCTGTATCAGCATGCTGACAAGGACATGGCTGAAAACACAGCCCCGTTCCCACCTGCCTGGAGGAGCTGGGAAGCAGGAAGGAAGAACCACAACCAGGAGCTGACAGCAGACCAGGTGGAAACAGCACCAGATAGACCTCAGTATGGGTCAGGCAAAATTAAGCATCCCTGGCTCAGACGGCTTTCCAGGGACACGCACACAGAAGTCAGACACTCCTGCCATTCAGTGAGGAGTGTGCTTTTTTTTTTTTAAATAAAAAACGGGAAAAGCTCAACTAAGCTTGTATGCTTGCACTTGGTGCACTAAGCAATGTAGAACAAGGAGCACATTTGTTGTACAGACACATCTAACCTTGAAAGTTCCTTGCAGCTTTTTTGGTTCCCTTGATCCCAGTGTTTAATACTTCCAGTTGACCTAGCAGGCAAATTACACCTGTCACTATTTCACCAAATGACTCCCAACCCAGAGATTAAGAATTGTCTAAGGGTTTAATAAGGGCATCTTAGGACTCAACCTCCCCTGATTATCAGTACAGGGTTAGTAAGCAACCCATGCAGCCTAAGCCCAATTCCCAGCTTCCCAGATGAGAGAATGGGAGCTCTGGGAGCTCATCAGGGTAACTCCCACTGCACATGAACCAGCAGGCACTGGCCAGGACAGGGCATGTCCTGGTGCAAGCAATCAGCAGCGTCCCAAGACACCAAACGCATCAGGTAACTTCAGGGACAATCCAAGCAGACAATACTTTTCCTAATAAAGCCTGATAGGATGTTCGAAACAAGCGATTGCCCTTTGTTAAGCTTCAGGAGGCAGGCAAGAAAGTTCCAGGAACGTGAGTCATGTCGCAGGACAGTCACAGTGAACGTTCAGGATGTGCACTTTTAGAGAGGTGAAGGTACAGCAGGCGTTCAGCCCAGTGATGCAGGAGGGCCAGGTTCCCTTCTCCTGCAATTACAGAGTCACGGGAAGGGCAGCGATGATCCTCACCACATTTTATTTCCCAACAACAAAACCCCCTGCACCTACTCTGCCAAAGGAACAATTCATGTTGTTGGCTCTAACTCCCAACGCGGGAACTGCTGCAACCAACAAATAACGCATTTCTGCTTCCTTGGCAGCAAGTTGTAGTCATTCCTTTAAAAAGCATTTTATTAGAAGAGTTTGGAAGCAACCTATGTAGCCAATTTCATTCAGAATCTTTAGATCTAGATGATGCAAGCATGATTTTCAAACCACACATGCAGTTTTTAACAATGCAAGTTATCTCCTCTGCAAGAAATAGCTCCAAATGAAGCTGCGTGTAACTAGAAGTCCCAGGCTTTGGTTATAACCTGTTGTTAATACGGTGAGGCATTAAGAGTAACTTGACTGTTATCCCCACGACTTCAGATCTGTCAGGGAAAACTTGAAACGTTTACTGAAGAAGTGTGAACGTGTAAAAAGCTTTATTATGGCAGTGACTCTGCTTATCCAGAGCTTAAGAGTTATTCGCACAGATGTGGCCCCAAAGATCACCACAGCCAACCTCAATTTCCACTTCCTGTCATCTGATGTGAATGCAAGACAAACCCGCAGCTCCCCCATTTCCTTTTCCTCCAGTCTTCCTCCTGGCACCCTGAGTGCTATTCAAACACAGGCAAGGCTTCCTCTGAACAATGCTATCCCAAGGATACTGCAAAGGTACCGGGCCACATGCTAAACCTATTATTGCAAAGAATTTTGCCCCACTGGGAGTCAGTAGGAGTCTCTAACAACAACTCATGCACACATTGTTTTCTAGGTGAGACTCATCAAGATGGGATTGTAGACAAGCAGCTGAACAGCCAAGGAAGCTGAACATCCACTATTTCATACCTGCAGGTAATTAAGAGTCATTCAAAGGCTACTAAAAACCAGATAACATACATATAACTGCAGTACTGGAAGTGTCACATTTTGGGCGGACAAAAACTTAAGCCTCCAAAGGCTTTACACACAGGAATTAGCAGAGCAGGCAGTTCTACTCCACATACCACACAGGAGGTGCAACAGAAGTCACAAAGCAGTGATGTGAGCTAAGGGCACAGCACAAAGCATCTCTCAGCCCACCAGGGGACAAGTGCTGCACCAGGCCATGCAGGCAGTGGCAGCAGGGAGCCAATGGATTCCCTGCTCAGTGATACCAGAACTGACCGCCCGCTGCCCTCCTCACACCCTGCTGCAGCAGAACCCAAAGCAGGGATCGTTCAGCACTGGAACTGCCTACAAATTACATCCCACACCACAACCTGCTGTGTGGACATGCAGTGCCAGCTCGTCTCCTTCCAGCTGCTAAGCAGCTATGACCCGCAACATTATCTGCTGCCATACGCAGAACAGTTCTCAGGATGCTAGATAAAAGAAATAACCCAAGTAAACATTACTAGCAGGGAAGCTAGCCCACCAGAAGACACATCAAACCCCAACAAGTAGGTATGACAACATTTGACACCCTTGGAGACTTCCATTTGAGTCACAGCTGCTCAGTGCAATAACCTCCCATAAGCCACCAGCTTACAGGCTGTAATTTGTAGGCAGCCCTACATTCATGAATTCCTATTACCACAGCTTGCACTCAAATGTATACGTTACCTATTAACTCCCCAGTGCTTGATTGCAGTTATAGGTTGCTCTCTAAATGGAAGTCTTGGATTAATTCAAGACTTTCTGAACTCATTTCTGCTCAAGAAAGTCACAACCAGTTATTAACCCTACTAACAACCAATCAATTTTACTCCATCTTAAACAAATCTAACGTGAAAATTGCAGGGGCAACCCTTTAAAATCAGATAAAAGCAGCAAATGAAGAAACAGCTATTTAGCTTTCAGGTATGTGTTTTTAGTCATGCAATTAGTAAGCTCAACAGGGATTATTCAGACAAGCAAGCATGAGCAGAGCTGTGAGCCCTTGGGATAAGAAAGCGAGGGTCAGGCTGATTTATAAGAATTTACTGAACTGATATAGAAACATTACTTTCTCTACACTGACAATGCATTAGAAGGAATTTCCTTTATTTTTTCCAGAAGGAAACAGATTATATCATTTATTTTTTTTCAGTGGAGTATAGACATTGCTGAAACAAAACCAAAAGCAGGACATGAGTCTTCAGCCAGAAATACAACCCTGTCATGGGCAACAAGCACTGTCACCCATTGCTGGGCAAACTTGAAACGCTTAATGGTATGGAATCATTTCACACAAAGCTGCTGCTTGCCTAGCCTAGACTCAGAGAAACACAGACCGAAAGAATCTTTAAAAACACCATTAACCCCAAAACATGAAGCATCCAACGCACTTAGAAACACCCACAGTTTTCCCCTTGCACCAGCCCAATCTCCTGAATCCTTACAGACCTGCAAACACGCTCACTAAGTCCCACACGTGATTGTATGTGGTCAGTGAGTGTGGACAAACCAAAGCAACAGAGCTATGGGATAGAAATGGTAATTAATGCAAAACCAACCAAAGCTGAGTGGCTGTAAAGCACAATGCATTAATGATTCCATTAAGAGGCTAGCAGGGAACTACTCTGTTAAGATGAACCACACTTAGAACAGAGCCCTACCACCTGCACACACACAGAGATGGAAGGAGAAAAAGTATTCTGTGACAGCATGCACAACAGTTAATCAAAAAAGCTTGTTTTTAGAAAAGTATAAACCCCACGTTGCTTTGTGCGGGTTTGTTGCTTCTCAGCATACCATCCAAATACAGGACAGCAACCCCTGCTGTAGTTCTGCGGTTTGAGTATCACAGCGGCTGAGATCTCGTTATCTGCAGCGGGGAGATACGAGGTGCACACTGCAGCCTGCCTGTCCCCCCCCTCGCCTCACAGCCACCGACGGAACGCAACAACAAATGGAACCCCCGGTCTCCCCTTAGGGAACGGGGCACATCCACGGCCCTACCCCCACCCCAGGTGGGCAAACGGAGCCGTTCCCAGCCCCGCGGCCACCAGCCCGAATGTGGAGCACGGCCAGGGGCAACCGCGCACCCGCAGCTGGGGCGGGGCTGAGCGCGGAGCCCGAGGGCGAGCGAGTACGGGGAGAGCAGGGAGGGCAGCGCAGGAGGGGAAGGGGAACGGGTGCTGGGAGGGGGGGCGCCGGTAACGGGAGCGCCGCGCAGCGCGGCTCCGCGGGGGGACGCGGGGCGGTGCCGCAGGGAGGGCGGCGCCGGGCCCGCACAGCCACTCGGTCGCACACCCGCCCGCCCGCTCACTCGGTGATCTTGGGGTCGAGGTTGCCGATCCAGAGGCGGTGCCCGTCCTGCAGGGCGCCCTCGGACAGGATGGCGGCGTTCTCCAGCGGTAACGCCTGTCGTTCCGGCTCCATGGCGGCGCGGGGCCGCCCCTCACCATCCCCGGCCTCGCGCAGGCCTCGCCCCGCCCTTGGCGCCCATTGATGACGTCACGGGGCGGGCGCGGTTCGATGATGTCAGCTCGGCGCGACGGTGAGCAATGCCGCGGGCACCCGCCCTCCTCTGTTGCCACTCCCGGACCCCGGCTCCGCTCGGGTCACGCTGTGCCGCTTTGCACCGCGGCACCGCAGCGAGGCAGACTGGCCGCTGCGAGGCATCGGGCGGGGCGGGGCGGGGCGGGGCGGGTTTGGGGCAGGGCGTCCACGGGGTGTGGGAGAAGGGGGCCGGGCGGGGCTGAGTGTAGGCGGCGGGGCCTGATGGGCAATTGCCGGGGGCGTGGCCTGAGATTGGGGGCGTGGTCTGGAATGGAGGCGGGACCTGGGGTGGGGGCGGGGCTTGCGCGCACGTGCTGCGGCGAGGGCTGCCGCGTGGTTTTGTTTGCGTGTGAGGGACGGAGCGGCACACGTGGCTGGACGCAGCCTTAGAGCGATACTTGTGATTAAGGGGAGTATGAGGGCTTTGGAGTCTCCATCCTAGAGTGGTAGAACTTGAAGTTCTGTTTCACTGGTGCACAAATAGCCAGCCCTGCAGTGCTGACTGCTGGCACGCACACACAGATGCACACCTCAGGCTTGAAGCCTTTCCTTTTAGCACGCTGACCCACCTACTTCTTCCCTTTACAGGTAACCAGTGGCTATGGCGTTACAATGCTTTAGGCATCTGCACTCCCTGCTTCGTTGCTCTTCACTCACAGTGGTGAGGCGGCTGCCACAGCCCCCAGCACGCTGCACAGCTCTGCTCCTGGATGGCTGCAGGCACTGCACCCACCCGCTGCTGCTAGCCAGGCCGCTGGCTACCAAAAAAGGTAAAGCAGCAGCATCCAGTGGTGTTTGCAACCCCCGTATGTGATGCCAGATACCCATCTCGGGGAGCTGCTGTTGCAGCAGGGCACTGTGTGGCTATGATCGCAGTCCCAGCTAGAGCTGGTGCTTGTAGCACAACCTTCACATCTGTTTTGGTTTGTGCTCTAAATTGCTGGGCCGTTTATTCACTAAAGAATATCTGTTTGTCTTAGACTCAGCTCTGAATCTAACATCAGTTGTAATGTCTTCTTTCTAATCTCTAATGCAATAGTTGAGTATTGTGAGAAACTGAAATTAATTCTATGTGTAATGTGCAGCTAAAGGTAAAGGGCAGACACAAGCCAAAGTGAACATCAGTGCTGCCTTGGTTGAGGATATTATCAATTTGGAGGAAACCAACACAGACATGCAGGCAGTGGTAGAAGCTCTGAAAGAAGATTTCAACAGAAATCTCAATGTCAGAACCTCACAAGGTTGGTACATTTTTTGTACAATGCTCTGTTACTAGGTTTTTTGTTGGTGGTGGTGGTTTTTTTTTTTTTCCAAAATTGATTTTCTTTTTATTGAGTTATACACTGGGCACCCAATTACTACAACCTTGACATCCCTTACTAAAGGCTCTCTTCACCCTGAGCTTGACCAGGAAGAATCCATTTTTGTTAATAACTTCCTGGAAATAGCTTTTCTAAGTGGGAGATGTCAAAAGTGTCTAACTGAACTGTTTGCAGATGTGATGAAGAAGCAGGTTGTCAGCTAATGGTGCAGTAGGGCAGGAAAAATCCAATTGCCATTAAATTAGCCTTTTGGAAATTGCCATCAGAGTGGTGTCTGACATGTACAAACTTTTTTTGCTATGCATCTTTGTGGTTACCGACTTTTACAAGCTTTATTCACCGAGTGAATTGTGTATTTCAGGAAGGATCATGAATATGTTTGACTAAGCTACAGTTACTATAACACTGAACATATGTATTTTTAAGTAGTATCAAGTTTCAGGGATAAAGTGTAATATTAAACAATGACCAGATTTGAATCATCCACCACTCCAGCTCTGGCAGGGGCACTGCAGTCTTTTGTAGGGCTGGAACGTGTTGCTCAGTCTCTTAACTGTTTATTTTAGCCATAGGTGTTTTTTTTGTTTTTTTTTTTAACTGCACTGATCAAGTACCTCCTGTCCCGTGTGCCTTTTGGTCTGTTAACATTTTGCAGCAGAAATGAGAGAGCAGATTAAGAGTAGCTCAGGGAGAAACAGAATACTCTCAATTAAGTAGTGGATAGCACCTCCTCTTGGGACCTGGAAAAAAAAAACAAAAGAGGGGTTTAAGGGGGCATTGCATTGCTAAATTCAAGACAGTAGTTTTCTTGACTTTTATAATAACATCTTGATCTTCTTTAACTTCTAAGGATTAAAAAATAATTATTTCCTCTTAATTCTTCACAATCTTTGTTTAGTTTTCCTATTCCAGTAACAGAAACAAAAGTTTTGTTTTCATGTTTTTGTGCCTAATGCTGAAATGTTTTACAAATACCACAAGGGATGCATAAACACAAGCAGCACCCGAAGGCTGAAAAAATACATCATTTTTTTTATTTTGTAACATCTGTGTTTTGCAGTAGGGAGGGAAAATGAGACACTGTATTTGTGCTACAGCATCATCCCGAACTGTGGTGTCATGCTGACATTCCCTTGTGTTTGGTTCTTTCGAGGGGCCCTTGACCACATCATTGTCACGACAAAAGATGGGAAGTTTCCACTGAACCAGCTGGGGCAGATCTCACAGAAGTCCCCTCAGCTCATTGTAGTGAACATGACCAATTTTCCAGAGGTAAGGACATGTTACTGAAGGCATGGCAAGGGGAGGTACTTACCATGGGAACAAACAGGTCGATACTGAGCAAAGAAACAGGTAGATAAAAGCAGTCACACTGGACAGGGGCTAAAGCTCAGACAACGCTGTCGCTCCTTGGCTGACACAAGCTGTGTTTTGCTGCAGACTGTGCCATGTGCCATGTGCCTTCCCCAGTTAAGCTGACAGAATCTCAGAGGAGGTCAGGATAAGGCACTTGATGCCTAAGTGTTTCCTAAAGTGTACCCAGATTGTGTAACTTGGAAGAATGAAAACTCCCCATCAGCGAGTGCACTGAGTGCCACGACTGGGAGAGCTGGAAAAGCCATACCATGACTTTGACTGTGTCCAGGCAGGAGGGTGGGCTGAGAAATGGGTACACAAGAAATGGAGTCAGAGTACCCATGTATTGCCTGTGTTTCCTTCCCAAGCCAAAGGATTGTTTTTCACCTGAGCTGGAGCTATTTCTCTCAATGCAATTGTTTTATACCATAACTGTTTCATGTGGAACTCCTTGATAACACTACACACTCTACTACTTGATATCATTACTTACAGCATATCACCAATACTTCCTAGCACTGGAAAGCAAATACCAATCCCTGAAGAGTCTAGGATAGAAAATAATTATAGAAGAGGATTTACAATACAGCTTTTACTGAGCATTTTCTTCCTGCAGAGCAAGTTCTGCACATAGAATAACATACTGATGGTCCTAACACGCTGAAATCACCTTTGCCACATTTTCTCTGCTCCTTTTGTTTCTGAGTGGGGCAGTTGTATGTCACAAAACATTGGCAAACTTTAGTTTGTGCCTCAGTTGATAAAAGCTGGACTTCATAAGTGTGATCTACTGCGGTAGCCTGGAGCTCAAGTTAACAATAGGAAAGAACATCAGAACTAGCAATGCTCCTTGTAGGAAATGCCATGCTAGTGCCAAAGGAACGCAGACCAGCCCAGTCTTGTTATTGTCAGCGTCAGAGAATGAAACAAACTGGCAGAGCACTGTTGGAGTTCTCAGCAGAACTGTTATTTAACCGTAACATTTGACACCGTGAAGGTACAGCAGTGCTCTTAGGATGAGGGGGGGGGAAGCATTTTAATCACTTACAATTAGCAGGCAAACCTGTGCACCTCACCTTTCAAGCAGAGCAGCATCAGCCAGCTGTGGTGGAGTTTTGAAAAGTTAATCCTAAGTAATAGGCTGTAAAATAAACATAGAGCTGGGCACAAGCTCTGCTTCTCAGCCAACTGCTACTGCTGTGATGTAATGTGATTACGTTGCAGTGCTGAAGTGGTTAAGTTAGTTAACATTTCTAAATGGATTCTGTGTGATTTCTAGTGGAAAACATTCAACTGGAATTTTTAAATGCTGAGAATCTTTCATCTCCTTTGCCACAGTCAGGCCATGCCTTGGGAATTTATTGTGGTTTCACTCTGCATTGCCTCAAACCATCCAAATAGTTTCAAAGAAGCAAAACAGTTTTCTTCTGTTGTTGCTTCCCCTTCCCCTCTCCCCCCTTGGTACCCTCGCTACCCCGACGCTGAGTGCAGCCATAGTTTCCCATTCAGTTTGATCAAAGCTCTCCACACCAATGTAACTTCCTGATCTTACTGGTAACAGAAGTAAATGTTTCCATGTTCTGTGGAGATGGATTGCCAACTATTGACAGAGTTCTGGCATATGGGAATGATTATTTCCTAATTCTTTTTACCTTTTGATCTGTTTTACAGAGCACAGCTGCAGCTATGAAGGCTATAAGGGAGAGCGGAATGAACCTGAACCCAGAAGTGGATGGGACAGTAATTCGGGTGCCAGTTCCTAAGTGAGTATCAATCCGTGGTCCCTGAGTTCATCACTGTGCAAGATAATGCAGCAGGGCTGAGGCTCACATGGAGCCAGTCCTCTGGAGCTGCTCAGCACCTCTGCTCATACTGCATCACACAGCATGCTGGTATGGAGACAGAGGCAGCAGCCCTGCTCTGAGCACGTTTGGGTGGTAAATCCAGAATTCCTGTGGGTGCTCAGTTCCAGCAGTGCCAGAGCCCTCAAAACATCCTGAGCAGATGCAGAGGTGTGAGGCCACCACAGGTGTGATCCAACCTTGGGGTACTGCAGACAACTGCCACCAAGGGCTTCGTGCATTGCATGCACACAGACCCCCCCACTTGCACAGAGGTGACTTCTAAGTAAAGATGAACTGAGTTATTCCTCGTGCTTTAGATCTACTTTAGAAAATTCTCTTGATTTTTATCTAGCATTTTGATCAGAGAAATCTAATTGCAGCTTTCTGTTGCTGTCGGTAAAGGGAATGACATTATCATTCTATTTGCTGATTTTCTGTTTCCCCTGTGCTCTCTGCCCTTCCCCCATCCCTCAGGAGAGGAGGCAGAGGAGGAGGGCACCATTATCTTCATAATTGCTGAGGCTCCCGGGTTGCTGCGCAGTGGTTTGATTGTTAATGGGCACTTGGGTCATCCTTGAATATGAATTGCAGGGGAGGAAACTCCGAAACTACAAATCCCAATCTTTAAAGAAATACTGTTTTTCCAACAAATATGTACATTCTGTCACTTTCTTTCATGGTGTTGCAGATCAAAAGCAGATCTTCTTTTCCCAAGAGAGATCTCTCATGAGCTGCCCATTCCTCTGCAGAGAAAGTGTTGCTGCTCTCAGTCCCATTTCCCCTGGCAGCTGGCACCCCAGAGCCCCACATCCAATTCATTTGCAGTTTGCACGATGTGCCCTGCAGGTCTGCCCCTCACGGACTCCTCTCCAATAAGACAACAGAATTGTTCAGGGTTTCATTCCTTACTGACAAGACAAACAGTTTCTGTCTTTAAAACCTTCTAATGCAAAATTCTGAAAGAGGGAACCCTTTACATCCCCAAATTGCTTTTTCTGATTTCTGATTTCTAAAGTGTTTCATTTTCTCAAATATCTGAACACTTTCACAAAAAATTCAGAACAGATGCAGTGAAATTGCTAAAATGATGGCAGGTGTGCGGAACAAGCAAATGAATTAGAAATTAAGAGACAATAGTGAATAGTGCTCCTGGAGAAATGGATTTTTTCAGGAGGGAAAGCACATGAAAAGTGAAATCAAACCTAAATGATCTTCCCTGATCATTGAAACCACTTTTTAGTTGGACTGATCAGGTGGACACACACGCATCCTATTTTGCCCTACGCACGTCGGTGCGTGAGATCATTTCAACTGAACGTTTAAAAATGTTTGCTTCTCAGTATTTATTCCATTAGTTTAGGTTTTGCATTGCAGTTAAAACATGCAATGGCTTTAAAGACACACGGGTTGTGTTGGTGTTTACTTCTGCTTCCTGCTAGGATCCCCTCTGCTCCCAGAGGCATTCGCCTGTTTGTGTTGCTAGCGCTGCATAGGCAATATTTGTTTGTAGAAAAGTATTCTCTGGGGGCTTAAAAAGAAAAAAAAAAAGAAAAGAAAAGAAAACCAGGCATGGGAACACTTGTATTGGTCGATCTCGTGGCCGAGTTTGACCTGACCTTGTGTCTTTTATGGTATTGCCTCATTTTTAGATCCATCTTTTTTGGACCCATTGTGTTACACTGGATATTGTTTGTAAATTAGTAATATTTTTACACATGTTTTACTGAAAGCCAGATGACTCATTTGAAAGTTTAATGACTCATTGTGAGCTTTTTTTTTCCTTTGCCCTTTAAGAAATATGCAAAGATACCTACGGTGAGGAGAAGGACTCGAGAAATTTCATTTAGAGAAAAAAGCACAAAGCTGAGCTGCGTTGCTCCAGATCACTCATCATAATAAGTCTCTTTCACGCTTCTCGTTGAATAATATATTTTGCACCCTATGTTTATCTGCAATTAGGCATGCAGAGTATCTAGTTAAACCTACTTTCCTTTAACTGATCCCTCTCATTCGCAGGAAATTCCTAGCATTTGAGATACAGAAATTATTCTTACCCGCAAAAACGCGCTGTGTTGGAGACCAGACGGGCCTGCATTGTTTTCACTGCGGGTGTGCTCATGCCATATGCTGGGAAAGGAGCATCCAAGTGCCACAGTGCTTCAACCACCAGTTGCTGGCTGGGGCAGAAAAAGAAGAGGTGTTACCTTGGGCAGTGCACGGCTCTGCATGCACTGCTGTGCGCTCAGCCGGCCGTGCTGTGCGTGGCACAGTGGGATGGGCCTGGGCACACGGCAGGGTTTGAGCCCACTGCTCTGTACCTGCAGAGGCTGCACCGGTCCTGGGGCCTCATCCTTATCCCTACGGGGGGGGGCAGCCCTTCCCGTGTCTGCTTCACACTTTGGCTCTAAAGAGGAGGCAGCTGCAATGGTTACTAGACAGAAAAGCAAACACATTTCGAGACAGCTCCAAGTCCCAGATCTGGGGGCAGGATTAAGCAACTGTGCTTAGAAACCAAGGGCCTGGCTTGTGCTGATGGATTCCTTAACCAGAAACAGCATCAGACCGAAGAAGTGTCCATTTCTGGCACTGTTGGTAGCATTGCTAAGAATTTACATACGGCCTGGGTGGAACGTAAAACCCACTGAGAAACTCTGCGGCGCTGCGCAGTGATAAAAAGGAATTGGTGTTAATAAAGACAGACAAGGAGGCATGAAAGCTGTGACCCTGTGCCAAGAAGAAGAGGAAATCTGGCAGCCCTGCATAAACAAAAACATTTCCTTAAAGGCTCAGCAGCCCTAAGCAGGCGAGCGATACCCTCAGTGCAATCCACCAGAGCTGAACACAAGCAGGGAAGTGAAGGCAAGCTGCACTCAGCCTCAGCTGGGGCAGCCCCTGCAGAGCAGCTCTCCTTGCCACCCAGCAGCTCCCTCTTCCTAGCTCAGCAGACAGGGATCTCTTTCCCTTCCCCCTCCCAAAATGCTGCCTGAGAATCTGACCTCCTGCAGACCTCTGTCTGCGAGCTGTGCCACAGGACCTCTGGCTTGGGATTCTGAAAAAGAGAAGCCCTAAAGGCATCGATGTTGGGATGCACAGGAAACCATGAGTAACCTCGCTCACTTCCAATCAGACATCCAGGTCCTGGCTGCAGCCTGCTCTGAGCAGTGGCCCCTCAGCAGCACCAGATGCTGTCCCCAGTGTGTCCCCTGGCAGGGGCTGTGCCAGGTCTCTGCTCTGGGCCTCTCTGCTCTCCTAGGGATATGAAATTCCTGTCAGTTCTGGAAAGCTGATTGCCCTCTGCCTTAAGGTAGAAATAACTGGCGGTGCTCAGGAGCAGTCAGTGCCTCTGCAAGCATCTGCTGCAGGAGGGCACCAAGGGTTGCCACATGGGGCTCAGCCCCCACAGCCCACACTGAGCATTGCTGGGGAGCCCTTACCCCGTGCTTCCTCAACTCTGCAGGAAGGAGCTTGGCCTCGGTGTTCCACTCACTCAGGCCATTGCAGCCAATTTCTAAGTATTCCATATGAAATGTTTATTTTGCAATATCTTCTGTGTGCTGCGTTTTGCATTCTTAAAGTGATGTCAGAACTGCAGTAGCCACAAAAATAGTTAAAATATTATTGTTGAGCACCAAAGTTGATGTTGACAGCAGTCGGCTGTTGGTGCTGGAGCATTACCGGAGCTGAGACGACGTGTCAGCTCATCCTGTGTTGGGTTCAGACTCATGCTGCACTGTGGTTCCCATTTGGGATGAAAAGTTGGGGATTTGCTCCCAGCAGCGCAGCAGTGGCACCACATGGGGCAAGCTGCAGCCAATGTTCTCTGTGCCTTCTGTATGAGCTGCTCACTCCAGAGCCGTTGGTAGTGCTGCCTTGTCACATGGGGTGATCCAGGTGTGTCAGTGGAAAGGCCTGGTCATGGTAAGGTCAAGCGAAATAGAAGTTCCATGGCTTCCAGGTGCAGAACTCAACCTCTAGCACTCACATGGAGACCGCACTGAGGGTCAGGGATGGACGGAGCTTCCCTCGCAGCTTTGCAGGAAAGCTGCACTTCTCAGCTCTGCATCCTGGGTGTGGAGCTGGGTTTTCCCTCTTTCCCCAGATGCTTTGGCAGCAGAAGAAAGACATTAAATGCTTCAGCATGACTTCCAGGCACGGCAGTGACAACCACGAAACAAGTGTGTTCAGTCCAAGCCCTTCAGCTTGGGGCTGCAGTAGGAACTTTCCATTTGAGGCTGGAGACCATCAGTGCAGAGCTGTGTTGCTGTGGCAGACGCTGCACAGAGGCAGCTGAGTTGCTCAGGGGACTGAAGGGGGATGAAAGCCCTCTGTGAGCGCTCGCAGCACAGCACGGTCTGAGCACAGCCCACAGGGTGCTGTGTGGAGGCCTGCCCACCCTGCCCACCGCAGGAAATCAGTCTGGCTGTGCTACACATTACATTGATCTTTTTTTTCTCCTCCTCACTGATAGAGTAACCAGAGAACACAGGGAGAGCCTGGCCAAGCTCGCCAAGCAGTCCACCAACAAATCCAAAGAAGCTTTGAGAAAGGTGCGAAGTAAAAGCGTCAACCAGGTGAAGAAGTTCAAGAGCAAAGTGTCTGAGGACACCATCTGGCTGCTAGAAAAGCAGGTAAGTTTCTTCCTTGCAGCATATGGCAGTTGTTGGCTCAGTGGGGTGAGGGAGAGCATTTTTCCCACAGCTGACAGAACTCCAGCACTGAGAAATGGGGTGACTGGGCTGACTTTCTGGAGTAGGCAGCGGCTGCTGTGTTTGCTATTTCTTTGTGAGATTTGGGGCTTAAATCTCAAAGCCAAATTTATGGTATTAACAATTGTAAACTGAAACAGGAAAACAAAATTTTCCTCAAAAGCTTTCATAGTGCAGGGGATTATTACACAACCCAGCTGATGGGGAGCAAAGCTGCCCACGCCCATCATTGTACCACCGCTTACACAGAGCCTGGACATCACTAAACAGCTGGTGCTAATAAGGATTGCTCCAGTTTCTTGTTAATGAAAGGGCTAGCAAGATTCGCTCCGTTACGAGTCTTTGGCTCTGATTCAGGAAAATACTTAAGCACATGCCTAATTCCCTAAGAGCAAATGTCACTGAAGTCAATTACTTGGGCATAAACCCAGGCACAAGCTGAACTGATGCCTCCAAAGCAGGCTGTGACTTTTTGGCCATTTGTTTATTATCAGCTGAAGTCAGGTACCTTGCAAATGCTTCAGAACTGTTCTCTGTGTGCTCACAAAAATAAACATTGACACAGAGAGCGTTTCTGCAAGCAGGAAAAATGGCTGTGCTGTTGTAACTGAATCCTTTGGGAGGTGGTTGTTCCATAGCAGGCAGATGTAGAGGTAGTGTCTCACATCTGACTTACACCCGCATCCATATTTTTCAGCATGAGGAGAGGTCATATGCTCATATACCTGAGAATTGAGTGCATCTTAATCAGACCTGGGGAGGTAGTGCACAAAAGCCCCAAAGGCTCCAACTTCAGTCTACATGTGCGCCCATCACTCACCCAGAATGCACACATGCACATTTTGGTACTGTTCACATGCTTGCCACATCCGTCCCTTGTTATCAGCATATCTAATCACTGGGCGGGGCTTCAATGATAGTCACTTACTTCTTTCTACAAGAAATTCTGTGCATAAGGAAAATAGAAGACTCAGACTTGTGCTGTGTTGCCGCAGATCCAGCAAATGGCAGACAGTGCTGCAGCAGAGATGGACAAGCTGCTGGCAGCGAAGACCAAGGAGCTGCTTGGATAAACACCACACGTGGACACACTCCCCTTCCAGCAAGAATGGGCTGCCCTGTATCCGCTGCCATCCCAGCCTGTGGCCAGGCAGCCTCTGGTGATGGGCAGGGGTGGCTCTCCCAGACCCGGGCGCTGGGACCCCCTGGCTGCTGGGATTTCTGATCCCGGATTGTATGGGAGGGAGGGGGGGAAGTCTCTGCTGTTCTTCATTCAAATGTCAACAGAATTGGGTGAAGTAAGATTAAAAATAAAATATTAAGGATAATTGGAGGTTACTAAAAGGATTCCCACCGCGTAAGCTGTGACCTAGGAGGTAACACTGCCCTCTGCTTCAGGTAGCAGTTCAGCAAGAGTTGAAGCTCAAGCCTCCAGATGCATGACCACCTCACCAGTCCATTTCCTGCATGTCTGACCCTTGGCAGGCTGCAGGCCCACTGTGCAGCTCTGCTCTGTTGTTTCTAACAACTCTCAACCTGTGCTGGTAGAAGAAAGCACAACATGAAGGGCGTACCTAACAGTGTCCTTGTGTGATCCTTGTCATTTATTCTTGCTCAGAATAAAGTCCAAGTCAGCCTGGGAGCTTTGCAAAGCCATCATTTGCCCATATGTGCTGCTGGTGGCATGCTCCAGGGGAAAGGAGGAAGAAGCAGAACAGAGTTCTGAGCATATACCTCAGCCCTTGGTTGCCAGCAGGTACTTCCCAACAGCAGCAAACAGCCTCAGGCAACAGCAAGAGGGAGGGAAGGTGGTGGCCAGCAGCACAGCCCCTCTCCCAGAGCAGTTGGGTTCAAAGAGCACCAAGTACTCTGCAGTCCTTAAATAAACAACTCCCAAAAAGTTAGTTTGTGTGCAGTGGGGAGGGGGACAAGGATGAAGGATTTGCTCTGCTAGGGCCTCACATGTCAACAATTTCTCTGCTTTGTGTATTTTGGCCAAAGCACTTACCATGATAAATGAATAAAGGAAAATGGCGAGCCCAGAGCGGTTACATGGCTCAGTAAATTGCTTTCAGCTGATTACTGTATTTCTTTTGACATTTATCAACTCGGCTTTTTTGCTGTTGTTACAGCCTCTGCATCCCAGCAGCAGCCAAGGGCTGAAGGGTTTCCCTGTAGCTGTGCAGGACACACCTGGAGGGCACCACAAAGGCTTCTCATTGCAGAGAAGAATTCCTCAAGTATTGAAAGGGCAGGGGACGCAGCTCCCATGTCACCCACTAGCTGTCCTTGCCCCCAGCACCAAGGGAGCAGCACACAGCAGCCACACCTGCCCTCATAGAGCAGGACAGGGACAAAAGCAGCAGCTGCAGCCCTGGCACCTTCACACATAGGACCACCATGGCACCAACCACACACACAGCAGAATGCAGCTTGGCACTCATCAGCCACAGTGCAGGCAGCCAGCACCCAGGAGAAGGGACACAGCACTTACTGTGCCCACGTGAGTTGGCTCACAGCGATGGCTCCAGGTGCTCCTGCTGAACCTGCTCTGCTGCTGCTCCACAGGGCCTGCAGGCTGCCAGCCCTGATCCAACCACACCAGCAGAGGAAAGTGGAAATAAAAAGCAAACGCTTCCTGCCGCAGCATCAGCAGGAAGCCCTCAGTTAGCTGAAGCCTGGGCTGCACCCAGAGCTGATAAGCTGCAGCTGATGCTATTGGAGGGTGGAGAAGGAGCTCCAGCTGTGCTGAACAACCCAGGAGGAAAAGAGACCACAGCTAGAAAACACGGCTGTGACGCAGCTCTGATTTCAGTGACGCTGCTTTGGCCACCAAATGAAGCGGGTGCAGTGACAGGAAGCATCTTGGGGACTGAGGGGTGGTGGCACACAAGGAGGGCTGTGGCCAGACCCCCTGAGCTGGGTGCTGGGAGCCAAGTGTCACCCATTGGGTCCCCCTGTCCCTGCCCAGTGGGCTCTGTGGGGCTCCCGGGGGTCTCACCCCATCACGTGGCCCAGCAGACACCCACAGGTGCCGCTGCGGTGCCGGGGATGGCAGTGCCAGGGGAGCAGGGTGAGCTCCTGCAACCAGCATGGCCGAGAGCTGCAGAGGGGAACCAGAGCGGGAGAGAGCAGCAGGAAAAACTTGGAGGAAGCTGGAAGCTCTCAACACAGTTAAAAAACAACATTGCTCTTCAAAATAGATGTGATTGCACTCCTTGTGAGTCATCGAGCAGAGACACCGAGATTGCTTTGTGCCAGGGATGAGCCCGGGCTCTGATTGTGTGCCTCCCGGATTTGTATAAAACAGAGCATGGATGGCATGTCAGAGTTTACAGCTCGCATACATTTTCAGCAGTGAGCTTTGCAAAATGTATCAATGTAATCTCTGCCTCCTATATTCCGTGTTGATTAGACACGATTTCTGGCTGGATTTTCAGAAAGCTCAAGTGCTTTTTTAATCACTACAGAAGCTCATTATTGCTTTCCAGTGACTCTTATGTCCTTCACTTCTCCTTTCAGATTAGAGTCTATAGTCAGATGAATATTGGATGATTTCATTACATACAAATGCAATCAACAGTTTTGCATAAATTTCTCCTCTTTTCTTGAGTTTCAATTGACCTCAGCACCCGTGGAGGCAGGCGCAATACACATGTAAATGAGCTGGCGTTGCTGCAAAGACACGGATGCGAGAAACAAGATAAACTGTCAGATAATATTCGGGATTTTAAGAGATCAAAAAAATACTTCCTTGCTCAGCCAAGCTGTGAAAATGGCACCTTCAGCTGCTGGGAATGTGCTTTTGTTTTGCTGCAGGTCCGGCTGTGGGCAGCGATGGGAGCGATGGGCAGCAGCGGTGCTGTTGGCAGATGAGCAATGCAGTGGATGCTGCTTGGGACAGCTTTGGTGGGAACAGGACCCGGTGGGGACACGGGCACGTGGCATGCCAGGGACACCCACTGCAGCCCAGGACTTGGTGGCCAGCCCTGTTCCAATGGGGTCAGCATGGCCAGAGGGCGCTCAGCCCCAAGGGCAGCCCCACATGAGATGCCTGTCCTGGGCACCTGCTGGCTGGGCAGTCCCACTACTCCCACCAACACATAACAATGCCTTCGAAAGATATTTAAGCCCACACTCCATGTTAACAATCAAGGCTAATTTAAAAAAAAACTGTAATTAAACATAAAGGACCTCTTGGTAGGAAAGTCAGGGAAAACTGTCAGTGGTTCCTTTGGCTGCGGAGCCCTCACCTCGAAGGAATAATCTCAGTGCTCCTGTGAGCAGTGTGGCACTCCCACACACGCGTTCAGGGGTGAGGAAAGAAGCTCTTGGGTTTCTTTTGATACCTTTTTTGCGCTAATCTTCTTAACAGATTTTTAATTGATGGGAACAGAGCACTTTGCAGCCGTGAAATCTATTGGTGTAATTGCTGGCGGATTAGTCCCATTAAGCACACAAATTACCTGTCTCCAGGCCGCCGGCCCCACCAGGGAGCTCCCCGCGCTGGACACACTGAGTGGCCCCATTCTGAAGCAATTTTGATAAAATAAACTCTCTAATCAGGTAAATAATTCCATAAGGGAAATTGCTGCCTTCCCGCAGCCCCCTCCTCCAGCAGGGACCTGGCTAGTTTCAGGGGAACGGAACATGCCTCCAATTACAGACAAACCTTCAGCTCGAAGGGAGAAGCTCATGGCACATGGGACCCCCTTGAAATGCAGCGTCCGAAGAATTAAAGCATTTAAGCTGTCAGCCAGAATCTGCCCAAGCCCTGATTACCTGGGGGTGACACACGGTGTATTTAGGTTTGTGTCTGCTGCAATTTCCTGGCCCCCAGCGTTGATGCTGAGTGACTGCGTCCTGCCCAGGGTCCCTGACACGTGCCCTCAGTGTGGGGACACCGACCTTTGGGGCAATTAGGGACATCCCTCCTGGAGCAGGGGAAGCATGCGGTGCCCCTGAAGAGCCACTGTGTGAGCACGGCTGTGCCCATTTCACAGCCACACTCACTGAAGCCACATGGCTGTGCCGGTCCCATTTCTGGCAGGGAGGACCCCTTTGGTATGGATGCTCCTCCTGCAAAGGATGGGAGACCCTTGACTGCCCCATGGGAAGTAGAGAGCAATGGGGCCACGCAGGGGGCAGCACCCACAGTCAGAGAGGGCTGGGTGCAAGGGCTGGGGAGCGAACCCTACACTGCAGGTAATTGGCATCAGATGCTCCCTGACCCGCTGCATCCAGCGGGAAGCTGGAAGCATTTATTTGTCTGAGCTCTATCTGTGTGCAGGAGGCGTTGGCAGTGGTGGAGCTGGGCTCGGTGAGCCTAATGAGCCAGGCTGAAGATGATGAATATGATTGCTGAAAGCGCTTTCCTGAGTCCTCCTTTCCTGGGGCTCAGGTTACGAGTTCCCAGACAGCCTGTCCAGCCGGGGCCTTTCAGCTCTGATTTGTAGCCCCCCAAACAGCGCCTGTCAGCTCCCTGTCCCGGGGAAGTGCTTGGCCCTCATCTGCCGTGCTCCAGGGAAGGGCAGGGCGTGAGCATGGGCACCGTAGACCCTTCTCAACCCAGGGGAGGACTGTGACCCCGAGCTGCCCCACATCTCCCGACAGGAGCGATGCCGCGGTGTGCCCGTGGCCATTGGCACTCTGTGGCACTCTCGGTGTTCACCGGGGTGAGGCGGCACACCGGTGGTTCTGGCTCCTCCGCTCAGCCCGGCGTTGCCTCAGGACGGATCTATCCCCGAATCGCATCCCCACCCAAAGAGCTCCTGCAGGGTTGCACAGAGCCGGGTCTGCCCGTGGGCGCTCAGCTCTGGGGACGCACACCTGCAGGACCCCGAGCACAGGCTGGGGGCAGCGGGGCTGTCGGCTTCCAGGGCAGCTCCCGCACGGCACACCGCCGCTGGGGCAGAAGGAGCTCTGCGGTGCCGACCCCGCGGGCTCGGTGTCCCTGTCCCACTCCCGGCACAGGGAAAAGCTGTGCTACAGCCCCCGGGAGAAGTCCCAGTGAGGAGGGCCGAGAGCTACTCTGAGCTTCCCAGCGCTCCTCTCCGCTCCGCGCTGCCATTGGCGGTGTTCTGCTGCCTCCCTACGGAGCCGGCAGCGCTCGGCTGTGTGCAGCTCGGCACGACGCACACGTGGACGATGGCGACGGCCGTGTCCCCCTCCATCGCCCCCGGCTGCGGTGGAGCGACGGCGGAGCGCCCAAGCGGCCCCGCACCAGTCCTTCCCAGAGCCGCCCTCACAGCCGTGCCGTATCCCCCGGCACTGGGGGATGCTGTGATGCAGGCAGGGCTCACCCCGAGCGCAGGAGCAGCGCATGGTGCTCCAGGAGGGCTGCACGGCGCCCGTCTGATCGGTGCGGTGCGGAGCGGTGTGTGGCCGCTCTTTGTTTTGGGCTTCTGCAGCTCTGAGAGATGACAGCAAAGCCCCAGTAGCCCCAAACACGGCTGTTGCCCTCCACCCGGAGCAGCCCGGACGGTGCCACCAGGCCCGGGGACGTCCCCCGCGGCTGCCCCAGGGCGCTCTGCAGGGCGCTGCCCCGCACACTGCCCGCAGCCCGCCGGCCCGATTCTGCCCCGCTGGCACCGGGCTGGGAGCAGCGCCAGGCGGGAGGCACGGCGACGCTTCCCGGTAACCCCATTTATTCCGCCGTTGGCGGTTGCGGGCAACTCCCGGGGTGCCGGGCTGCGGCACGGCGCTGCCCCCTGAGCTGTACCACCGCCCCTGGGGCACGGGGGGGACGGGACGCGGGGACACGAGGAGCGGGGCGCGGCCCTGGAGGAGCGCGGGGTCCCCCCGAGGGCCGGGCTGGAGGCGGCCCCGTCCCGGCGGGGGCGGGAGGAGGCGCGACGGGGGCGGGGGCGGCGGGACCGGGCCGGGCAGCGCGGGACGCGGCGGAGCTGCCTGTCGCCATGGGCGGTGGGTGCCGGGCCCGGGTCCGCCCGGCCTCGCTGCGGCTTCTCGTCGCCCACGCGATGCTGCTCTGCGCCGCCGGGAGCGCCGCGGCCGCCGGCACCGGTACGAGGGGACGGGCAGCGGGGGGAGACCCCGAGGCGGTGCCGGGGCGCGGGGTGAGCCGATACAGGGAGTGCGGGACCGGGAGCGCGGAGGGGTGGCGGGGCCAGGGTCTGTGTCACGGGGGAGAGGGCGTGGAGAGGTCGGGGCCCCCGGCGCTGTCTCTCACAGTGGTCTCGGGGCAGGATCGGGCCTGTCGCCCCTGCTGGTGCTGGGGCGAGGTCGTGGCAGTGGGCTGCGGGCGCTGCAGGAAGGGCCTCTCTCCGCGCTGCCCCGACGGCTGCCGGCGGCCGCCTGGAGCAACTTGGGGAGAACGGGCGCCGTGCCCGCGGCTCTGGGCGCAGCTGCTGCCCGCTGACCCGCGCCTTGTCCCATTCCCGCGGCCTCGAGCTGCGCTGCTGCCATGTGCTGGCCCCGCGCTGGACTCAGGCGTCGAAGGGTGAACGCACCCACGGAAAACGGTGTGAAATTATCTCCAGTGCTGCCAGCTCCATCCGTGTGCTGGCCTGGGCAGTTTCCTTCAGATTTGAGGTTGGATGCTGACCGTGTTCCTCTGCCATGAAATGATTTTCCTTGCTTCTACATTACAAGACCCAGCACACATAACTTACCAGGTTTGGCAGTTCCTTGGTGAAGCCTTCATGGCAAAAGCAGCACAGGAGCGTGCTGTGCTGGGCATCCCTTGGTGTGGCTGCGTGTGCTGCAGCTGGTGGTGGTGACTCCATCGCTACAGGGCAGGAAGGGACACAGAGCCCATTGCAGAGGGTTTGGACTGCATGGGGCAGAGGGGCTGTAGGGAGGGGGCACGGCCTCCTCCCAGCACCCGCAGCCCTCCTGCAGCGTGGTGGCTGTTCCTGCACAGAAACAATGACCCTAAGGTGGAGACTTCCCTGTAGCAGTGGGTGTGCGTCCAAAAGTGAACATGAGCCAGGCTCACAGGGCTGCTTTTGTGCACCAAAGTGTGGCTCTGGGAGCCAGCAGCAGGCAGACATTTGTTGGGTCCCACAGGACAGGACCTGGGGACCGCTGGGGACAGCCAGCCCATGGCTCCTGGGACGAACACACCACGATGGCACAGCCCTGGTGCTGCTGGTGGCAGAACGGGGTCAAGACAGATTGCATCACACAGGGATTATCTCCCAAGCTTTGATTAGCAAAGAGAGCTGACTGAGAGATCGGGGGACCTGTGCTGGGACCTGTGGTGCAGTGAGCTGATCCTGAGGATAGAATAACCCCTGCCTGCTGGGTGTTTGCATGTCTCCTCACCTCTTTGCAGGCAGCTCCTTGGCTCAGAGCAGTAACGTTTTTTCTCCTTCGAGGCTTTCTCTGGCTGTGACCTGGGCTGGGCTCCCACAGCGTCTCTCTACTTTCCCCTGCAATATTGCCCTTGGCACCTGTCTGCTGCCTTCGCCCCAGGGCTGTGTATTTGTGTAGGAGCACATGTTTCTGCAGACTAACAGGGCCTCTCCAGTTGCATCCTCCTCAAGCCCGGCGCTGTTCACAGGCACAGCTGTCCCTGGTGTCACCGCCTCATCCAGGCTCAGACCTGTGATTCCTGCTGCAGATCTGGGTCCATTCCTACTACCTGCGGTCGGGGCTCCCCATGTGCATGGTGCAGCTGCAGCCCTGCAGGTTGCTGTGCAGCCAGAAGCTGTTGCAGATGACAGTCTGGCTGCAGTGGGCTGGGAGTGGCTCCTGGGCCCAAGAAACCTTCACAAATCAGAAAAACAAGTGCGAACCATTCACTGTCTTCACAGCTCGGAGCCATGTACACACTGGGAACGTCCCACCCGGTGAGCCCAGCCTGCTCATGATTCACCCCATGTCGTCAGTTTGGCTGCGGTTGGTGGAGCGGATGTTGACCCCCAAACGAAGCATTTTTCAGCAGCTATCGTGGGCATTCGCCGGCTATCCAGTCATGGAGGGGCTGCAGTGCGAGGAGGGGGGCAGGAGCAGTGTGTCCCACAGCTGTGGCCACACTGCTAGATTCCTGCTCGGGGTGGAGGTGGCTGCTGCACGCAGGTACACGCTCCGTGCCCCCTGGCTGGGACGTGCTGCTCCGCCCCAGCCGCGGGTCCCCACTGACACCGCTGTGAACCCAGAGCAGGCAGTGACCTGCAGAGCCCTGGGCATGGAGTGGGGCTGCTCTTGTAGGTGTTGGTGTTCGCAGCGGGGTTGAACACGGAGCTAACGGTGCAGCAGTACTCTGAAGGTGCTCCAGCTGTGCTGCAGCATGGCCCTGCTGGCGAGTTTAGTGCTGTGAAATGACGGGCGAGTGGTCTGAAGTTAAATTGTCTGAGATAAATAAGGCTGCTGCTGCTTCCACCCAGGGATGTGACAGCATCTGGAGATGTGGAAAGGTGCGAGGTGAAAGGGAGCTTGAAGGAAGGGCTGGGAGCTGCACCCTGTGTGTTGGCCCCATAGTGTGAGGGTTCAGGGTCCCAGTGCCGAGAAGTGCCCTGAGATGTCTGGGAAACTGCGAGGCTGCACAATTAGCTTGATTTGTCAAAGATGTTTGGTTTTAGCTTCAATTTCCTATGGAAAATGTATTGTGTATTGTGCCAGCCTGCATGAGAGCCTGGTTCCAGACCCTGCAGAATTTGAACCAGATCAGGCAGAGCCCTTAGGGCTGGGAGTGCAACCCCCATAGCAGCTGTGGACGGACACTGACTGTGACAGTTCCCAGCGCCTTTGAGCAAAGTCTGTCCCCGGGCGCTGTGTGTCCACCAAGCTCCCCGTGGCAGCTCCGTGCTGGAGGCAGCTGCGCACTGTGTGCCAAGGACGGTTTACAGATCACAGCCCCACCGTAGCTGCTTCCAGCTCCTGGGCTGCCCTCACTCTGCAGCCCCATCGTGCTCCAGCTGTCCTGTGCTGCGGCAGCTGCCCGAGTGCCGGCAGATTGGCGATGCGATGCCACAACACGGTGCTTTCAGGCTTCTCCCTGCACAGACCCCAGGGCTGTGACACCTCCAGCACGGCCCAGGAGGAGCTGCTGGGATGGACTGGGACCGCAATGTGCCCCCTGTGACCACAGCCGCACTGGCTGGGTGATGCCGTGGGGAGGGCAGGACGGGTGCTTATCTGGTGGCTGCAGCCAGGGTGTGCAGGCAAAGGGGCAGCTGTGGAGGAAGCGACCAGGCTGGGGCTGGGAGGAAGGAGCCCAGCAGTCAGCCCCTTCCTCCACTCAGGGCAGAAAAGCCCTGTGCCAAAGCAAACTGCGGCCCAGACAATTGCCATTATTAACGGTGATGTTTGTAGGGATTTCTGCAGCTCTGGGGCACAGCAGTCCGTGCACAAGGCTCCAGCAGTGTCTTTCTGCTGCCTCCTTCTGCGCTGGGCTTGGCTGTGTGCAGGGCAGCATGGCCCCACTGGGGTGCAGCGAAGTGCCCAGCAGGGTGGCACTGCGGATGGATGGTGACCTCTCCTCTCTCCCCCCAGTCAACCCATGCTGCTATTATCCCTGCCAGCACCTAGGCGTGTGTGTGCGCGTCGGCCTGGAAGGCTACGAGTGTGACTGCACACGGACGGGGTACTTCGGGGCCAACTGCACCTCACGTAAGTCCACAGCACTGTGCTGGGTGAGCACTGAGCTGTCATTACCTGGTGCCAAGTGCTGTGCTGCGTTTGTGTCCCACAGCTGAGCTCTGGACACGCCTACGTGACCTGCTGAAGCCCAGTCCTGCCTTCTACCACTTTGTCCTCACCCACTTCAGGTGGTTCTGGGACATCATCAACAGCACATTCATCAGAGACACGCTGATGAGGCTCGTGCTCACAGGTACCAGGGGTGGCACCAGGAATCTGGGCATCAGTGTAGGCACCAGGGGTGGCACCAGGCTGGGTCACTTTGCTCTGAGCCACCTGCATGCAGGTGATGGTGGCAGTGGGAGGCACGGGGGGGCTGAGCCCTGCACATAGGCTGAGCACCAAGGAACGGCTGCTGTCGGCACGCCACGTTCCCCCTACAAAGGGCTCTGGAGCCGCTGTGCAGGGAGCAGCTGGTGGAAATATGGAGTTGGCCCTTGTTACTCATGTCCTTGCATTTATCACTTTGCATAAATATTTAGGTTCCAGCTCTTGGAGCCATAGGGACGTGTTCACAAGGCTTTGGCTGTTGATTTCAGCATTTATGCATGTTTGTCGTCTAATTCATCATCCAGGAATCCATTAGTGCAGAAGCAGAACCATCCATTCATGCAGGGACCTGCAGCCTCTGATGGGGGGGCACAGCACACACAGCACAGCAGGACGTGGATGGGCTCTCTGGTTCCTGAGGTCTGTGCTGCCCCATGGCACCAACTCAGCTCTCTCCTTCCAGTTCGTGCCAACCTCATCCCCAGCCCTCCCACCTTCAACTCCCATTATGGCTACATCAGCTGGGAGGCCTACGCCAATGTCACCTATTACACCCGCATCCTCCCGCCGGTGCCGGAGGAATGCCCCACGCCCATGGGGACCAAAGGTGCGTGGTTGGCACAGGAACACGGGAGGTGATGAGCATGGGCTGGGTCTACAGAGGAGCGTCTGGCTCCTGCCTGGTGCCACATCACTGCCTGCACTGTGCTGCAGTGGTTGAGCTGCATGGCCCCAGCATCAGCCCCTGTCTTCCACAGGGAAGAAGCAGCTCCCCGATGCCCAGCTGCTGGCTCAGCGCTTCCTGCTGCGGCACAAATTTGAAGCTGACCCCCGGGGCACCAACTTGATGTTTGCCTTCTTCGCCCAGCATTTCACCCACCAGTTCTTCAAGACCTCCGGAAAGATGGGACGCGGTTTCACCAAGGCGCTGGGGCACGGGGTGAGGGCTCAGGGCTCGGTGATGTAGACACACGATGGGCGCAGGCTGGCTGCTGCCCCGCTCACACCTTGTGCTCCCAATAGGTGGACCTGGGGCACCTGTATGGAGACAACCTGCAGCGGCAGCACCAGCTGCGGCTCTTCCAAGATGGGAAGCTCAAATTCCAGGTACTGCACGGCATGATATACTGAGATGCATCTCCGTCCCATGCCCCAAGATTGCTGGAAGCCCACGTCCCTCTGATAGCTGCCAGGACCACGTGGCTTCCTCCCCAACTCACTTTCTGTTCCTGTTCCCCCGAGGTGGTGAAGGGGGAGGTGTATCCACCGTCTGTCACTGAGGTGCCGGTGCACATGGTCTACCCTCCTGCCATCCCCAAGGAGAAGCAGCTGGCAATGGGGCAGGAGGTGTTTGGGCTGCTGCCGGGGCTCTGCATGTATGCCACGCTCTGGCTGCGTGAGCACAACCGCGTCTGTGACATTCTGAAGCAGGAGCATCCCACCTGGAGTGATGAGCAGCTCTTCCAGACAGCGCGGCTCATCCTCATTGGTGGGTGCTGCAGCGTTAGGGGCTGGGGAGTTCCTCTCACAGTCTTCTGGAGATCGTTGGCTTTGGTCTGTCAACAGATTTAGTTTTGAGCGATTTAGCCAAAATTCTGAATAATTTCATTCTAATATTCTTTTCTGGATTCTGGATGGAAGTGACTTGGTGTGAAATTGCAGTAAAGCAATTAAAGACCCACGCCAAAATGTTCTATTAAGCAGCATGCTGGGGGTGGCTTTCTCAAAAACCATTTCTGTTTCGGCAAAATGACCTTTTTTGGTGGAAAAGTAATTCAGAGAGAAATTCCCCACCAAATGCCCCAGCCCAGAGTCAGGCGGGTCCTGCACTGCATGTGAGTAGCGCGCCCAGCCCAGTGCCCTGCAGCAGGGGGGTTGAGGAGCACTGCCCCCACTGACACTTTCTTCTCTCACCTCCTGCCCAGGGGAGACCATCAAGATTGTCATTGAGGACTACGTCCAGCACCTCAGCGGGTATTTCCTGAGCCTCAAGTTTGATCCCGAGCTGCTGTTCGAGCAGCAGTTCCAGTACCGGAATCGCATTGCGGTGGAGTTCAACCAGCTCTACCACTGGCACGGGCTGATGCCCGACTCCTTCACCATCCGGGGACAGGAGTACAGCTACGAGCAGTTCCTCTACAACACCTCCATGCTCATGGACTATGGTATAGAAGCCCTGGTGGAGTCCTTTTCCAGGCAGGCTGCAGGAAGGGTAAGACCCCGTGCTGCTGGTGCATCCCGTGGGGCTGTGGTGCCCCGTCTGTCCTACCACAGTGCTCGGTGCGTGTGTCCAACCTGCGTGTAGCATTTGACAACTTTTCCTGGCGGTGCTGTGCATGCTGTGGGCCCCCCCCACAAGCAGTGCAGCCTTAGCAGTGCCGTGTGCTTAGTCCTGGGATGCTGCAGTAAACACGGTGCTGCAGCCAGGAGCGTGCGGTGCGCGGGAGGCCCCAGGCCGGGCTGTGCTGCATGGAACAGCTTGTCTCATACTGTTCTTTGCTGCCATCACATGGATGTTCTCTTCCAAGTGATGTATCAACATTTCTGACTTGTGTGAAGCAGCACGGCCGCCACACAGACCTGCTGCTCTCAGGACTCCTGCTGTGACCCCAAACCCAGTGACCCCCACCCCAGGGCCCGGGTGTCAGCAGGGCCAGGATGAGGCTGGGGTCTACTCATGTGGGCACGCTCCTCCTCATCCTCTCCTCCTGCAGATCGGTGGGGGGCAAAACATCAATGCCAATGTGTTGGGAGTGGCCGTTGGAGTCATTGAGGAGTCGCGGCAGCTGAGGCTGCAGCCCTTCAATGAGTACCGGAAGAGGTTTGGCCTGAAGCCCTACGTGTCCTTCCAGGAGCTCACAGGTAGGGCCCCACTCCCCCAGCAGGGCTCAGGGGCTGCTGGCCCGATCTGTGCTGAGGTCTCTGGGGTTCTGTCGGTGCAGGAGAGGAGGAGAAGGCAGCAGAGCTGGAGGAGCTGTATGGAGACATCGACGCTCTGGAGTTTTATCCAGGATTGCTGCTTGAGAAACCCCAACCCAACGGCATCTTTGGGGAAAGCATGGTGGAGATTGGCGCTCCATTTTCACTGAAGGGACTTCTTGGGAATCCCATCTGCTCCCCAGAGTACTGGAAGCCCAGTACCTTTGGCGGAGCAACCGGCTTCGAGATCGTCAAGACAGCATCACTGGAGAAACTCGTGTGCCTCAACGTGAAGAAATGCCCGTATGTGGCGTTCCGTGTGCCAGATGCTGTGGCAGCAGGTGAGACCGACAGCAGCCGTGCAGGTGGAGCATCATCCACAGAGCTGTAGCAGCAGCACAGCCCACACAGGTATGGCCTGGCCTCACCCAGCCCAGGGAGGGAGCAGACCTCTGCCCGGTGCTGAGTGTCCCTGTTGTCCCTGCAGGCAGTGCTGGGGCCGGTGCTCTGCTCATCCCATGTCAGCAGAGCATCCTGCCCTGGGTGGGCTCCAGCTCTGCCCCACACCGGCAGGGAGAAGCTGGTGTTCACCTTGGGAAGAGCTCGAGTGCCTGAGGAGACCTCAGCAGACCTAATCTTCCTACCATTGCCTCGCACTAAGCCAGCTTGGGAGCTCACTTGGTAAATCCCAGCGCCCCAGGATGCTCCTGGCCTCTCTGCTCCTCTCCTTCAGCTCCCACTGCCCACTCCTGCTGTGGGGCATCATACTCCAGAGAACACACAGCTCACAGAGCCTTCCCGGCCTCACCGGGGAGATGCGCTGCAGATGCGCTGCAGGCCGTGCTCTCACCTGGTTCTCCACAGCAGCCTCTCTCTGCCCTCCATCCTGCCTGGCACTGGACAAAGGGTGACCATGCCAGCTGCCCGGCCCTGGGGAGCTCCCAAAGCCCTGTGTCCCCCCCTTGCACTGCTGTTCTGGCATACAACAGGCTGCTCTGAGCTACCTCTGTGCACATCACCCTATAAAGACTCCCCCGCCTTCTGCTCACTGCACTTTCCTGCATTAATAGCTCAGTAAACAACATTCCAAAGGCGCACCGCCTGCTTGACCTGCTTCACAGCACATGCAGACATAAGCCCTCACCAACAGCATGACGTGATCACTGGCAGCCAGGGCTGCTGGCCTCGGTCCCAGCCAGATCCCAGAAAATGGACCTCTAAAATAAACAATGTTAAAAACCACTCTCATTTCCTCCAAGTTCTCAGGCTCTCGCAGTGCAGAGACAGGCCAAGGCAGGTGCCCGGGACTCAGGTGGAGCTGAGGAAGGCTCAGCAGCGGTCACACAGGGCACAGGGATTTCCTGGGTCCCAGCCCTTGCTGCAGTTACCTTGCTGGAAGCACACTGTCAGACAGGGCAAATGGCATCCAGTGGGAGCAGCACACGGCCAAGGACTGCTGCCATATCCCCAGACAGCACCACGCACTGCGATCCGTGCACCGTGCGCTTCCAGTGTCACAGTGGCAGAGCACGCCTGTGCCTTGCTGTGTGCAGGGCTCCAGCTCCAAGCATCCTCGCTTTGGTTAGGCCACAAGTATCCTGCTTTTGTTTGTGTCTATCACAGCCAGCCAGCATTGTTTGTTACCAGCTGATAAGCGTGCTGGCCATCGGGCACATAGAGAGCTGTCTCAGTGCTCTGTGCCACCAAGGGGACGTTTCCCCAGGAATAGCACAGCCCCAGCCCCTCCGTGCTCTTTGCTGGTCCTTCAGCCCTGTGTTCAGCATCTCTGGGGAGTGCAGCAGTGTGTGCCTGCGGGCTGATGTGCACAGGAGAGCACTGTGCTGTGCACACGGTGTGAGGAGCAGAAAGGACAACATCTGCCTGTGTTCGTGTGACCTTTGGAGTAATGATTCACTGAGCACAAAATTACCAAAGTGGACACTAGGAGGAAGAGATCTGCTGCCTGCAGTGCTTTTAATAGTAATTCTCTTTTTGGTGTCCCTACAAATAAACCCCCAGCACTCTGAAGGGGATGTGATGTGGCTGTAGCACCAGAACAGATGGGCACAAGGAAATGCACAGCCCAGCAGAGGAGCTGCTGCCTTCCTCCAGCTCCACGAGCAGACATGGGACTAAACAGCTGCACCACCAGGCAGGAAAGCCAAATTTACCTTGGCCACGTTTGTGCATTTGTCCTGTGCTGGAGAAGCAGCAGATAGAAAACAGGACACAGAAAGGACAGACTGCAAACACAGCGCATGTAACATGGCAGCAGAAGGAAGTGTTGCTCACCAAACCTTCACCACACATTAACTTACTGTCCTATTTCAGACACGCAAACCAGGCTAAGTATCTGCAAACATTTAAAAGCAATAAATATCAACCTTGTTTTCCAGCACCAGTCACTTTCTTTCTGAGCCCTCTTGCTCTGTGGACCTAATGGATTTAAGAAAGTTTGTTTGGCTGTCACAACTGCAGCCAAAAATGTTCAGACTTGAGCAATGCCTGCACAAACTCTGCCAAGGCACAAGGAAGGGAACCGACCGCAGTCGCTTTGCTCCAGACTCCCAACCTTTCACAGTGCTTTTATCTCAGAGCAATTTCACCAGATGCTCTAAAAAAAGCAGCAGGGTGCTGGTGAGAGGAAGGGGGGGGAGGAAAGAACAGGCAGATCCCAAAGGACAGCTTGCAGGTACCTGCCCAGCACCCACCACCTCTAGGAGCTGCAGGGCGAGCTGCTGCCAGAGCACAGGGTGGGCACACCAACTCTTCCCCACTTTCAGCCAGTGTCTGACAGCTGAATCTCATCCTGAATATAAATTACAGAGGACTTTTGGCCAAGATAAGGCCTAGTGCAAGAGACAAACTATCCAAGCATACAACCCATCACAGCTCCTATCTCTACCACCTGCCTGCTGTGCCAGAGCCTTTCACAGCTCTGAAAAATGCTGGAACATCCCATCAGGTTTCTGCCCAGAACAGTGCTTTGTGCTGTGCCAGAAAACCTAAGTGAAACATCTTTGGCAACGTTAAAAGGCTTCCTTTATTCAAAGTCGAGCAATTTAGTAGGAATGCATCAATAAAAGTGGAGTTCTGACGCTGACGAAACACAACAGCTTGGAGGGAAGGAGAGGCATCTGCCTCAAACCCAAATCCTGACCAGGCTCACGGCCAAACCAGAGTGATTCAAAACTTTTATTGTAGGTACGTGTTGATACAATTCCATTTTAATTTCCATTCTCTAATGCATATATATCAATAATGTGCATATATATATGCATATACACTCCAGTTTTTATCCGCAGGTTAGGACCTCATTTAAATTAAGATAAATAAAACAAACTTTACCACTTCAACTAAAACATTTACAGGTACAGTGTTAGTATGAGCTGAAGTTCTAATTTGTATTGAATGGACAGTAAGAAATTGATAACAAACCTATCCTAAAATCTGTTCTACTTTGCTATGCTGCTTTACATGCATTAAGAATGCTGGGTTTTGGGGGCACAAAACCACTGGCTGGTTGGTTTGGAAGGATTTAGCTTCAGGAACGGGCAAAAGCAAAAGCAGCACTCCAGCCCGCTTCTCAGCAGCACTAACACATCTTCTGTTTACCCCTCTTTGCCCTTTTGCTCCTTCTTTTCTTTCAGATCAATGATGAATTGGATTCAGGCTTCTCTCCTCCATATCTTTTCCCCCTGTTTTGCTACTGGCAAAACTATCTGTCTTATACATACCTCAGCAGCAAAACCTCATAACCAGGACTCAGTCACCTTGCTGCAGGCCATCAGATGGAGCAGCAGGAGAGGTTCTGATCCCATTACAGCTTTACAGCCTTGGGCCCCAATCCCTGCTTGGTATAAATAAAACTTCAAAGTAACTCAGAGTCAGCTCTTTCCCCTTCAAACCAGGTTTTACTGTGGTGCTAACATGTGCCTGTCTGCACTACTGACTTACTGAATCTCATCCTGAATACAAATCACAGTTAGTTTGACTTTTTTTGTGAAATGCAGGATACCCACACTGAGACTTCATTTCAAGTAACCTGAATCTCTTACCACATTTTAAACTTTGGCTTTCTGCCAGTTTCCTTAAAACAGCTAAAAATGCTCTTTCAGCTATTTTTAATTACAAATTATTTACCCATCTACTTATACTACTTTTAAAAATAGTTTGAATACATACAACTATAAATGCTTATCCTTGTCCTAAGATCTATTCTTACTATAAACCTAGTGCTTACAAGGGAATTTTTGCACTTCTCCCTGGTGCTCCGAAGTGCCTCACGCAAAACTTGCAACTAGATGTAATCATTAAACATAGCATTACATCATATTTACGTAAGGACAGCCTACTTTCCTCAAAATTAAATAACAAACACAATAAAACAAACACAGTAAGTTATGTGTGAGAAAGCAAGCATAATATCCAATTAAGTGTAGGAGATGTAATTCAGTAACAACGAAGTACAGAGTGCACACATTCAGCATGCTCGTTTGTACCACGTGCAGGGAGATTACACCATCATCTGGCCAGCAAAGCCTTGGCTCTGCTCTGCATCACTGGAGGTTTCCATGCCTGCATTCACTACACACTGCTAATGGTTTCTAACGCTGCTTATGTCACAGCTACGTCGTGCTAGACTTGCTGGAGGCAGGGTGAACTGTAAATGCAGTGGAAACCCTGGAAATTACTTCCCAATGTTACTACCTATAAAGTAAGTGGAGCACAAACAAAACAAACACACTTTAATAACAATATAATCACTAACAAACGATAACGACAAACTTGCTGCGGAAGCGTAATATACAGCATTCAGGAGCAGTAATTAATGAAAAGACAAATGGGCTCAGTCAGCACTGCTTGGCTTTTAATCTGTGTCCACAAGTGGGAATCCTAAGTTTTCGGGGAAAGAGTCACCAGTGTCACTGTGCAACTTTTACAGCTACAATGCTTTCACCTCAACTCCACAGCATCTTCTCTGCCAGCGAACTCCGTGGATGCACTGTACAAAAAACCCCATGATGCCAAAGAGGGAGGAAGAACAGGACAGTGGCAACGCTTCTGGTCCTGCCTAACACTGTGCAGAAACCACGTACTGAGCTTCAGACAAGGGAGCTCCCATTCAGGAGCTTGTCTACCGGCTTAGGGCTCACCTCCCACACAGCCTTCCAGTCATCTGTCAGGTCCAGGGATTATTAATATTCAAAATGCATTTGAAGACCCAGCTTAAGCAGGCAATATGCAGACAGACAGAGACAAACATCAGCACTTATTTAATTTTTGAGGATTTTAGAGATATACGACATTCTGAGGCTAGTCAAGTCCCGTTTCTGCACTTTGCCAACAAAACTCTCCTTGATGCTCTCCAGGATGTATGTTGGTTCTCTGTCTCTGAAGAGGCAGAGATTATTTTCTGCTGAAGTGACTGTCATGAATTCCAGTGGTAGGTATTTTAAAACCTAACTATGTTTTAAGAGCTGTACCAGAAGGAAGATTTTCCCATTTAAGTCTCAGACAAGGTTAAAGAAAGAAGAGCCCTCTCCAGCTCAAAAGCAATTTTTGGGACCAAGTCAGGAGCTGTTGTTATTTGCAAGTGAGTACTAAACAAAAATTTGATGTCAGCTGTTAGAACAACAGTTCCAAGAAGGGGACTGAAAGCTGCAGAATGGAAGATGGGACCCTGCTGTGTTAACTCGCTGGCAGCAGTTCAATTTCAGGTTAATAAAAGACATGAATGCCTAAAAACTTAATTACTGAATTGCGTTAGAACTTCATGCTTAGTAAAATACACTTTGACATGTACTTCACTGAGTTAATTTAAGAAAATGTCAGGAATGCTTTAAATTATTTAAATGCTTTAAATTATTTTTTAACAAGCGAAAGTCCCGAGTGCATGGAGGAGAAGAATAACATACCCACACTAAGAAAGGAAGGGAACAACCCCTAGCACAAGAACATCCCACAGCACAACTACACCTACTGGCCCCCTGGTGTAAGTGCTTCAGTCTATTTCCAGATCACTGTCTTCACTGTAACACGCAGATGGATTATGTATAGAAGTCAGGAGCACTAGGTCTTTTTCTGGAAGCAGACCACACTCCTGCAAAAAAGCCTCCAGGTCAACAGCAAAAAAATCTTCTCCAAGCTGGTCAGTGATCCGCACAAAATTGCCAATGAGCTCACCTGCCTTATAGACCAGCAAAGCTGGCAGAGCATTATTGGTAAAGCGAGCGCTGGCACCAATGAGCGAACTCTTTACTCTGCAAAACTTAACTGTTGGATACTCAGCAGCCAGACAGATCATGCAGCCGTTCAGGGATTCAGCACCAGGGATATCATCTTCGTAAATATGGATCATGATCAGAGTGCTCTTATGCTCTTTATCAACCATGTCCAAAAATGCTTCTCCGCTGGTAATCTCAAAGACCTGTTTAAATTGCTGCCCACTGTACAGCTGCTGTCTCATCTCCTCCATTCGCTGCTTCCTGTATCGCTGTAAAAATTCCTCATCATCTTCATCATTGTGAATCATGTTATATTCTTGTAACGTCATCTAAAAATACATAGAAAGATACACGACAGAGAAAAAAAGACGACCTGCATCACTATATGGGTCACTTACATAATTAATTTAAATCAAGAGGATTAATGTGGGTCACTCATCTTTAATAACAGGCAAGTGCAACCCACAAAGGCTCAAGCACCAGCTTGTATTACACTCCATTTTGATCTAATTAGAAACCGTGTCCAGTGGGAACAGTGATTTCAGCCTTGGGTTTGCTAGTTCCCACTAATAACTCAAGTGGCTGCTCCGTGCTCCCACTTTAATTCAGGTTAATGGTAGCTATGTGCTTTCACTACGCTCTAAGCACTGATTCGGGTACCATGCCTGACCTCAGATCACTTCTCTTTCACCAGCTTTTTCAATGAGTTTTTAAACAAACATTTGTTTGGCAAAACAAGTGCAGCACATTACCTCATCTGTAGAAATGAAATCATCAGCAGGTCATGTATTTTCTTTCTATTCACCTGCTCTGTTAAATGTATCTACTGACCAGATAAGGGTTCCTATCTGTTCCATGCAAATAATGAAACAAAAAAATCCAGCAATTAAATGCCAATTCCTTTGTGTCATGTTACCTTTCCATTGATTTTTTCCTGAAGCTCTTTCTGCTTTTGCTTATCAGTTTCCTCATCTAAGTGAGATCTACATGTCATAGACAACTTCTTTATGAGGCGCTCCATTTCTCTGCGCTGCTCCTGTCTCTGTTCTGTTTCCAGTTGTTTAAACCTTCGCCAGTCATTAATGACTCCTTTTGGACCTGAAATTAAATATGCTGGCATTTAACCACAAAACAGTAACAAAATTACATCTCTTGTTTAAAATTCCCATAATTCTATAGAAGTCAGCAGTAAATCAGAAGGCTTATCATAAGGTTTCTGTACACCGTGCCAAATGCTGTAATGAAAGAGAAGAACAGACGTAACTTGCCATTTGTCCTTGAGTTTATAGCTGTTTTTATCCAGGAAGACAAATCTATCTAGCTGGGCTACCTTCAGAATTGTGTTGAAGGTTAACTCAGATTAATATCTAGGCCTTCAAGAACCCCACAACTGCAGGAATGACTCAAATACACCTGAAAATAGGTCTTTTGTTACAACAACAAAGCGGGAAACCACACAAACCTTCCAAAAAAAGGACTTACGAAGCAGTTAGTGCTATGGCAATACCTGTATTGACTGCACTGCCATCGCTGCTAAGCTCTACCTCCCCAACGCTGTCGGGAATGGAGCTCTCCCCTTCTTTGTCTTCCTTCTCACTGTCTTCATCCTCACCCTCACTACTGCTGTAATAATACTGGAGCTTCTCGCCCAGCAGTTTATCGTCCAACGCAGTCATTATGTTCTACAGAACAAACAGAACAGACCATGCAGCTCTTAGCTGTGCAGCACAGGACACCACCTTACACGTACAGCAGCAGCCTTCCGTTCCTTCTGAGCAGCTTTTACCACGCAGCAGCGCTCAGCCACCGCCACGCATCCGACACGCGAGCGAACTCTTAACGACAAACGTATTGGAGTTAACACCCGGGATGAATAAAGCCCTACTTTGTGTCTCAGCACTCAAGAAGCCGCAGTTATAAACGCTGTTTCTGCAGCGAGGCACACGAGTGGATATCCACGCGTTGTTACCCACGGAGAACGAATTTCTAAGCGTGACTCGGGAGCCCCGTCCGCCTCCGCCGCAGCCGTGCGGGCGGGCAGCGCGGCGACGTACGGTTCAGTTTCCGGTAGCGGAATCGTTCTGCCGGCGGCTCCTCGGAGCTGGAAGCGGGCTCAGCAGCGCTGCCGCGGGGCTGCCAGCAACACCTGCGGGGAGATCCGGCCGTGAGAGCATCGCACGGCGGTGTGCCAACAGCCGCGCCCCGAAATAACGCACTGCGGGCAAGCAGCGCCGTGCCGAGAGCCGCGTTTTGCGTTTAACCCAAACCGCACAAAACCGCAAAACATACCGAGCGAGCGCGGAGGCAGCGCAGGCGGTGCCACAACGCTGCGCATAGCGGCTGCGGGCCGACGGAGCGCCGGCACGGCACGGCAACACGGCACGGCAACGTATGGCAACACGGCTCGGCTCGGCTCCGCCCCCCATCTCGCCCCCCCGCCCCCCGCAGCTCAGACGTTTCCGACGCGGAACCCCGCGGGGCGGCAGCGCTCCTCGCGCAGCGCCCGATGTTACCGAGGAGCCCGCGGTGCCGCCCAGCCCCGTTGGGCCCCGTCCGACCCGCCCCTCCGAGCCCGGCCCGGCACGACGCCTCACCGCCGCCCAACGCCTTCCGGAGCGCTCCGCGCGGGGCACGGCGGGACGGGGCGGAGCGGGGCGGAGCGGGGCAGGGCGGCGCGCTGGGCGGGGTGCGCCGCTGGGTGGAACGCACGGAGGCGGTTAAGGTGGACAAATAATTTTTATTTGTGCATGCAAATACATGTCAATACTGCAAACTTCTTCCATCGATTCTCTCAAACACTGAAAACCATGATGCTCTACTCTGTGACCGGCCAAAGCTAAAACCTCTTCACTTCAGTGCTACAGCAAACACGCACGGCCGCCCCGCGCGGGGCCCCCCTACTCTAACACGAGGGAACAGACGAGTCGGGAACTCAAACCGAAATAAACGGAATAGAATTTACTCCCCCATATAACCCCATTTCATTTTACAGATTTTAAATTATAGTTTTAAATAGAAGCTGAGAATGCGCCATAAAAATGAGCATTAAATCCATCGTAGCGATGGTGCCTGCTTTATACATGATGGGTGTACACCATCTTTTATTTCATTTACATTTCAATCGAACAATAGATTTGCAAAGAAAATGTCTAATACAGACGTAAAAATATTCACACTAGAGCTTCACAATCGGTTGTACAATTGACAAACAGGCCTCTTTTCCCAAACTTTCCAGCTAAGCAAATTTATAAAATGTAATCGATGCAACAAGAAAAAAATTTCCTTAAACTTCCAGGGAAAAGAATACGCAGTAAACAGTATAAATGCGGACAGCAGATGCTGCAAGCTAACCACAATACTTCGGAGTGGCTGTACAGTGGGGATGTGCAGTACAAATCAAAGCCACGTGTGTTGTATCACAACTACCGTATAATATACTTGTTTGCCCAGCTACGAAATGCATGCATCCCATGCCTCGGATTCACGGAGATCTACTCTGGGTAAGTCAATGGGCTCTGGGCAACGACCCTGGCTTTCGGCAGCGAGAGAAGCAGGCTCTGTTCGAGTTCAGCCTTCGCGGCAACCTCTCGATTACGACTGGAGGTGCAGGACTATGTTTGGATTTGGGAATGTCAGCGATTCCTTTTTGGCTTCCCCTGTCACCGACAGCTCCCCTCCCTCGCTGTGCTCCCTTGCCAGCAAAGAGACGCACAGTGCTGCCTGCTGCCAAAGCGCGCTGCTCGATTATCCTGAAAACTGGGTTATTCCAAAGCACATTTGTTGTGTTCTGCTTGCAGAAGAGGCCCCTCCATGAGAGGGAACTGCCTAACAGAAGGGATCAAACTACAACATAAAGAATGGACTTTTACATACTATAGATAATTCGATCAATTCTCATTTTGTTACACTCTCAAATTCAGCATCTTCCTTTAAGCCTAATAATAATGAAGAATCTGTTCACAAAGATGATCAAGGAGCTGCTGGCATACAGTGTCTATGTACAGCAACAGATACAACTTGACAACTTGTGCTTTAAGAAAGCAAACAAAAACATGTTTGGAACTATTCTGAGTGTAGATAGTTATTTTAAGTGTTCTTTCCTCAGCTGTTTCCTACCACTGTGCATTGCTTTGTACCTCATCCAGCCTAGTACACTATTATACAAGAACAGCATTCAGCTCTTGAGCAGAGGATAATTAAAATTGTGCAATAACACAATCATGTTATCAAAGCACTAAAACCTGCCAGATTAGACTTCTACAATGAGCAATTAAGAGCTTATTTAACAGTCAGCTGTGTACAGTTTTTTGTTTTTAAATCAAGTGTCAAACTTCAGCATCCCTGTACTAGACTACCAAGAACCAATGCCAGTTTGCTTTGCAAAGAGTCTAACCTTTCCTTTGAAGGGTCTAGTATACATTCTACAATGCAAAATCTGCATAAACACTAAGATTCATTTCTTGTCACCTGTTTACAGGAACAAAATATCAGTAGCAGGGCTATCACTCTGCTATAATTATATGTTAAGAATGTACAGATAATTATTTCTCACACAAGCATTCTCCCAGCACAAGCATTAGTCTCTATTAAGACCTATGTGGAAAATGAGGCAAAACAAGGAATGAATCCAGGTAGTGAGGCAACACAATTAACTTAGATACTAATAATTCCTGTATCTCTTGCATGTGAAATCCCTGCTGTACCCCTAAGAGGGGAAAAGAAAAGAAAAAAACACAACAAACAAACTCAAAATGCTTGTCCAAGCAAAGCAAAAGAGCCAATCTCTTTTCCCCAATCTGCTATGGGCCTTTTTTTTTTTTTTTTCTGACAGCAAAGGTATCTTAGGCCAGAAGCTAAATGGGAACCACTGCCATTAATGCACAAAAATTAGTAATTATATCTCAATGTCAGAAAGTAAGCCCTTCCATAGCCCAGAGGCACCTGATTTTCAACTAGACAAATGAATACATACTTGTTCATAGGGTCAAGGGATGAAACTCCACCAAGAAGAAAGCCAGAACTGGGTTCCCACCTGTAGCTTCTACTTGTCAGGGCACTGGAGGGCATAGTTTCATGGCAAAAATCACACAGTCAGTGTTACAACTGTAAGACAAAAGCTGGCATGCTATTTAAATGCCCAGGTAATTCTTTTGCCTGTCATTCTCTACATTAAAAATTCAAGAAAATAACTAGTCTCAGTTAAGAACCAACTCTCCATATAAAGTATATGGTCATCCTAGAGAACTACTATATCATGGGACCTCCTGCTGCAGGCAAGAGTACATAGATACATTTGTTCTTATATATGCCAATGTGGTTGGCAGGAATATGTTAGGCTTATGTAACTTCACTGGACAAACAGGCAAATGTGTGTAAGCAGCTTATTCCAATCCCCCTCCAGCAGAGCACAACCAAGTTTTTAAAACTGCAATTTTAAAATTAAAAAGTTAAGGTAAATACACAATCAATTTATGTAGTATATATTCACCCTCAGATCATGCTGAAGATGTTCTGTGGAGTTCTGGTGCACAGAGGGCTCTTTCCCTGAGGGCAAATAAGGACTTCTCAAACCTTTATATTTTCTCTATTTTTGTAACAAAATAGCAATTTAAAATTTAAAAATCTTTTAAAAAAATTACATCACCTTCAACATGGAAGATCTCACTGTTTAAATATCCATGAAAGAGACATACTTGTTTGCATATCTGTTTTGGAATTACATTGTACAGCAAATAATAGTATCTCAGAAGCATTTCAAAAGTAATATAAATTCATATTTACAGAATGGTCTTGGTATAAAATATACAACAATCATATTTATGTCTAACATTCTAAGTTAAGTTTAACATCAATAGGAAATAAATTAAGGTGACAGAGGTGGTCTGGTTCTTGTATCCATTCACTTTGAGTTGCAAGTGAAACAAAGCATCGATCTAACCCTAGCTATGAGGTGGCACTGGCTATAGGAAGGTACAGCAACAGCCAAAGGAAACTAAAAGACTACTTGACTGTTTTTCTACATACATTCCTTAACATTTGAGTATTAAATAGATGTGTAAGATCTTCCATACTGACACCAGAATATCAAAACTAACCCTTGATTTTCAGGTATATTTACAACATAATTATTTCATGGACAGGTTCATTAGGAGAGATATCAAACACCAATATTTACTTAGTCTAATCAGTAACCCTCAGGGAAATGCCAACCCCCACCCCCCAGAAACGTGCACAAAACAGTTATCAAAATCTTACCCGACCACATAGCTGTGATTTTGTAAAATAACAACTCAGACGACCAGTAACATGATCCTCTTTAAGCATTTTGCTAGCAGGAAAAGCCCTTACATGCAGTACACCTGGTGAAAGATCAGCTTGGCTTAAAATATTCCAGTACAATTTTCAGAGTAAACAACTTCACAGAAGTTAATAAAACAAACAAACAAAAAAGTAAAACTTGTCACAAAGAAAAGTAAGAGGACAAACAAGATGGTAATCATCAGGAGGGAGAGTCCTGCTTGCTTAAAAAAAAAAAAAAGCTGATTAAAAGCTTCTTAAAAACCAAACAAACATATGCCCAGGGCTCTACTTCGTGTGCATTTATGAAAAAAAAATCTTCAGCTGACATGTCTAACATGATTCGCAGTCACATCTTAACAGGGCATAAACTCATACACTTTTCAGAGCTCTAAAGGTCAGATAATGCTATATTATTGTATTTTCAAAGTCTTTGAAAATAAGTTGCCACCGAACAAGCAAAAATTAAACCTGAATATAAAATTATGATTAACAACACTAAATAAAAGGTTATAACTGCCTTAAATTCCCAATATTTAGTTTAAATTAAAAACAAAACAGTACAAAAACAGCAATACCATCTTGTTAGTCAGTGCAAACACTACATACAGGGTTTTCAAAGGAAAGCAAAGAGCACCTGATACTTTTTGCCAAGTCATCTGGATTCTATAATCTGCAAGTTGAGAACCATTAATAAAAAAAAAAGAACAAACTGCTGTTACATTAGTGCATAACCTCTCAATATGACTGAAAATTGTTTTGTGTATAACTTGGGAGATCAATACCTAGTACGTTAGCTGGAGGACTTAGGCACTTGGTTTACTTCTGGTAACTTTACTTGGACAAGTAGCCTGTGTGTTTATCTACAGTACTAAAGCAGAAATGTGTGTGTGTGTGTGTATGTGCACAGGGGGGAAATGGAAACAAAACGCTGCAGCAAAGCACTGCACCACAGACCTGCAAATAACGCAGCAGTGCAAAGCTAATGGTGTGTTAACCCTGTAAAAAGTCTCAAGTCCAAATCCCCACCTCTCAGTCTTCAATCAGGAAACAATACTCCATGCAAAGTTCCTCAACTAAGGAAAAAGCAGCTGCAACAAGACACAAGTTCTTCTCTCATGAAACAAAATAGAGACAAATAAGTTAGTCTTCCTTTCACTAGATGTATCATCGTAGGATCCTGCTAGTTTAAATAACTGAGTTGTTAGTTTTCTACAGAAGCCATTTTAAACAAGAATGGCTCAGATACCGCACCGGATTGCTACAAACTCATAAAAAGCTGCTTTAAGCTTAAGTAAAACAAT